CCCCACAGACCCCCAAAACCCCCCCAGACGCCCCCAAAACCACCACAGACCCCCCAAACCACCACAGACCCCCCAAACCACCATAGACCCCCTTCAAACCACCACAGACTCTCAAAACCACCAAGGACTCTCAAAACTATCACAGACTTCCAAAACCACCACAAACCACCACAGACATCCAAAATCACTATAGACCTACAAAACCACCACAGACCCCCAAAACCACCACAAACCACCACAGACACCCAAAACCACTACAGAAACTCAAAACCACCAAGGACTCTCAAAACTATCACAGACTTCCAAAACCACCACAAAACTATGACAGACTCTCAAGACCACCAAGATCTTTCAAAACCACCAGAGACCCAAAACCACCACAAACCACCACAAACCACCACAAACCACCACAGACCCCCAAAACCACCACAAAACTATGACAGACCCTCAAGACCACCAAGGTCTTTCAAAACCACCAGAGACCCAAAACAACCACAAACCACCACAGACGCCCCCCAAACCACCACAGACCCCCAAACCAATGCAAAAACCCAAAACCATCACAGACATCCACAACCACTACAGCCCCCCAAAACCATTACAAAGACCCTCAACCACCATAGACACCCAAAAACCATCAGAGATACCCAAAACCACCACAGATAACCAGAATCAATATAGACGTACAAAACACCCACAGACCCCCAAACCAATGCAAAAACCCAAAACCATCACAGACATCCACAACCACTACTGACCCAGAAAACCACCACACCACTACAGCCCCCCAAAACCATTACAAAAACCCTCAACCACCATAGACACCCAAAAACCATCAGAGACACCCAAAACCACCACAGATAACCAGAATCAATATAGACGTACAAAACAACCACAGACCCACAAAACCACCACAAAACAATGACAGACCTTCAAGACCACCAAGGTCTCTCAAAAATACCAGAGACACCCAGAAACCAAAACCACCTCAGATAACCAACCAGATTGTTTCTTGGAGAACTGAACTGACCTTCATTTTTGTGCCGTGTCGTCTTTCAGATGCCGAAAGATTTGGAGATGTTGTTGAGAACCACCTACTTTGGAGCCATCATGATGATAGTGAGTAGAGAACATGGAGACAGTCACACAACAGAAAGAGAGTAGACCTACAGTAGAGACAGTAAAATCATAGTAGTGTGCTCTTGGGAGAACATGGTGTAGTACCTGTTGTCCTTTATGTTCTCCATGTGAGTTCTGGATAGAGCCTTGTATCGTTATGTAGTATTATGTATTATTACTGTACGTTCGCCTTCTGGTGTTGTTTTCTTGTAGTTCTGTTTGTCCTTCATGTTTTGTGTGTTATAGGTAGAACCTGGTGTAGTTTTTTAAGTCATTGTAGAACTGTGTAGTACCTGTTGCCCTTCATGTTCTTCTTGTGCGTTTTTGGAAGAACCCAGTGTAAAACAGTAGAAGTGTGTAGCACCATTTACGCTTCAAGTTCACTGTGTGTTCTCGATAGAACCTGTGTAGTACTGTAGTACTGTGTTTTACAGTATTTCATGTTCTCCCTGTGTGTTCTCAAAAGAACCCGGCTCTGGTGGAAGCTCCAATCTCGCTTCAGCTTGCTGTCAACTCACCTCCAAAAACTACCATCAAGACATCTGGAGCGACAGTTGTCATGACAGCCATTGTCAAGGTGATGTTGCTGCCTCCAGGTCGGCCTCCGGTCCAGCTCAGCAGCATGACCATGGTACGCACAGACGCACACACACACAAACACACACACACACACACACGCACACACACACAATACATTTTCGTCTGATCAAATCCCGTGAATCACCACTGGTTCAGGTGTCAGACATCTCCTAATGACAAACTGAAACTTTCCAGTTCAATCACCAGTTTATGAGTTAAAACCAGTTTAATGATTGAAATTGAAAATCTGCTGTTTTAAATTTCTCCTCCTGCAGGAAACAAAGTTTAACGCCAAAGTTTCTATGAAAGGAAAACGTCTGGCTGTTCACGCTGACCTCCGCAGGTACACACACACACACACACACACACACACACACACACACACACACACACACACACACACACACACACACACACACACACAATGTGGAGGGTTGAGGGACTGTGGGGTACTACTGGTTTTGCGATTATGAGCTGTCCAATCCTTGTATAACTGGAGTGTCAGAACATGGAGGTCGGAAAAGACTGCTGCTGCTGACTGGGTGTTAAAGGCACAAGAGGCCGATAAAAGAATTCACCCTTTTCCAAACTCAGTGCTGATCTCCATCACAATAATTCATATCTCACTTAGTGTGTCGTTACCGTTGCTGTCTTGTCCTGATGGTCTAGTGGTCTGGACACACGCCCTGTGATAGTGATAGTAACGTTCGAATCCAGTCTGACGACCACAGTGTGTGTGTGTCTTCCTGTTTCTCTCGTCGTATAATGTCTACATGTCCAACGATGTGCTTCATCTTTCAGGTTTAAAATCTTCTCCAACCAATCAGCTCTGGAGTCTCTGGCAGTAAGTGTTGTCGTCTTTCACCTGATTATATGTAATGTGGTGTTTCTGACAACAGAGGTCAGAAAGAGACCAACCGTCAATCACAATACACCACAGGGAGAACCTGTCTTTCTGTCCGACCTGTCTCTCTCTCTCTCTAACATCATGTCTGTCTGTCTGTCAGTTGATTCCTCTGCAGGCTCCTCTAAAGACCATGTTGCAGATGTCTGTGGTTCCTTTAATCAACAGTAAGAATCTGATTCAGTGACTGTAAAACATGAAGCCACTGTCACACTCACTTCTGTAATCATGTTTTACTGACTACATTTGTGTGTGTGTGTGTGTGTGTGTGTGTGTGTGTTCAGACTGGACCAAGAGAGGAGTTCGGATCCCTCTGGCAGATGGGATGGACTTCATTGAGGAGGTGGTTGAATATCATAATGTAAGTCTGTTTAGATATTAAACACGAACCATGACGCTGTATTCTGACTGGTCATGATTCTGTGACCTGCTTCACCCTCCACTCGACCACGGGATGTTATATCAAGCACTTTATTAGGAACCCCTCACTAACACTGGGTGTTTTCTCCCTTTACTCTGCACATAATTTCATTACATCACTGCTCCCACATGATCAGCTGACTGGGTAATCACATGACCAGGCAGGAGTACAAGTGTTCCTAATAAAGTGCTTGGGAGTGTATATGTATGTATATCATCACTCACCCTGTGGTGTTGACAGCAGCTGTGTTGATCTCTGCAGGGATTTATCGTGATTGGAGCAAATCTTCACTTCACCAAAGGACTGAGAGAAATGATCGCAGGGAGCAACGAGACAGAACCAGAAACCAACACCATCTAAAACACTAGCACGCACCCACGCACACACACACACACACACACACACGCATATATAATATGTTTATAATAACTATTATAACTTTATTTGTATAGCACCTTTCAAACAAATGTATATTTACCACACTGTGTGGTTATATACACACAATGTAAATATAAACAACACTGTGTAAATATGTATTGACATATACAATACATACACTGAATTGTAAGCAAAGATGTGTTTGTATACAAGACAGACATATGTATATACATACCTACACATACATTATAGACAGTATATATAACACTGCTTATATATACACACTAGGCTAATGGCTGAAGTTTTTAGGCAAAAACAATAGTTTTTATTTCTTTGTGAACTTAATCCAAAGTGCAGTAAAGAGAAAAAAAAAATCTAACTTACAACACACTGGACGCCACAGGTGTTCTGCATCATGTTAATCAGCTACCTGCAGAGCAAACAGAGATACAGGTTATCAAACCAGCAGATCAAACCTCCAGAGGCCTGCACTAAGAAACAGGTTCAACATATCCAGGATATCTTTTTGTTATCAAGCTTAACTAAACTGAACAACTGCAATCATGAGCAGTGACATGATGGTGGCTATCAGCTCGGTAAGTCAACCTAGGTTTTCTTGAGCCATGGAAATGTAGGGTTAAACCTGAAGTTACCTCGCTAATCACAAATCCTGCTTCAGAGTACAGGCTTCAGGGGTCATCACAATATAACAGTACACACACACACATACATATATATATATATATACAGTGGGGTCCCACTGATATGTATACAGAAATATGCAGAAATGTATAATTTGTGTGTTCATGATGGTTGTGATGTAACCATGGCAACCACGGGAACTGCTAGACAGGGAAACATAGTGTAGCATAGTGTAAACTTGACTGAACCAGTGTCAACCAGAACTACACCAGAGTACACCAGTATAAACCTGTGACATAACCCAAACTGTATGTTCGTGTTCATTACCTGTTCATGTGCAATGTAACTATGGTGACATGACATCATGTGACACCTGTATTTGATCATTGTGATTTCTATGTTCAAACATTGTGTAACTCTTTTAATGAATAAAGTAAAACTAAACTGGAAATGTTCATTTTGTTTGTCAACAAACAGTTAATTGACTGTATTAAAACAGCTGATAGTTGGGCTGTCACAGTATCAAGATTTTCACTGCACAATATTGTGATCAAAAGAATTCACGAATATTATCTCGATGTCTATAGAAAATTTGGGGGAAAATATGTTATCAGTCAAAATTGTCTTTAACTTGGTTTGTTTAGTGTTTTGCGTCTTTGGCAAATGACGTACGTCATTTTTTAACGTACAAAAATAACAACTACACTTAACGTACAGTGAAAAGACAACAAGATGAACTGATCCACAAGGCCTAACATCTGCCCTCAACACGTCAGCTGAAACCTGCCAGTTTTGCCAACCTTGGAAACTCTTCATTAGCTTCCCACCACTGAACAGCTCCGAGAACAGGTAGCTGTGCTGATGCTAATGTTAATGCTAATGCTAGTTCAGAGTCTATACTGAAACCTGGATATACTGGCACAAGTAAACACCCGTAACCATGGTAACTGTACACGACAAAGACTGAGACACCTGTAGCCATGGTAGTTGTGCACGACTGAGTCACCTGAAACCATGGTAACCGTAGTTGACAAAGGCAGATGAAAATTGAAAATGCCTTTAGTGTTTATCGACTAAAACTGATCATTGTTCATTGAATGAATCAATAAACAGCATCAGATTTCACTTCACGTCATTTATTGATCAATTTGGCAGATTTTATTCTAATATGGTAAAAAAAAAAAAAAAATACAACAGCAAAATCATTTGCCTTCATTCAAACTCACTGCATCACAAAGTAAACAGTCATTCAACATTAAATTAGCAGCTTGTTAATAGTTAATTATCAAGTAATATCAGTTAATATATCAGTTAATGATCAATTGCTATTAGTAAACTAAGCTAACTGGAAGTAGTTAACTCAGGTAACTATCAGCTAATTATCAGTTGATAATCAGTTCACACTTGTAAACAGCTTTCACATGTTGATGTGATAAACAGATTTGTCACAGTTTTTTTGTTAAGCTTAACTTCTCAAACTGATAATTATTTAAATCTTTTTTAAATAATTATTTATATATTACTATAATCTGAGTGCTGAAACAAATCACCAATCGGACTGGAGCAACAGTGGTCGGAGTCTGTCACAGTTTGGAGCTGAAACAAACCAGGTTTTAACTCTCTGGTCACTTGGTGAAATGTTTGCCGATGTCATCGTAACCATGGAAACCACACTTCCTGCCAGCAACTTTGCAGCCGAAGGTCAGGGCGTCCTGCAAACTTCCGCCTACAGTCAGAACAGAAAATTATAGACAAACATTTTGTCACAAAACAAATCTGATCGGTGTTCAGTCGGCAGGTCGAACTACTGGGCAGTTATGATGTCTCACCATTGGACAGTGTGTAGATGACGGCGGCATTGAAAGTGTCTCCGGCTCCGAGAGTATCGACCAAAGATTCAGGAGGAAAAGCATCTGAATGAACGATGACACCATCAGGACCCAAAGCATCCGCTCCCTTTTCTGCCCAGGCACAGACCAGGACAGCCCTGAGAGAGAGAGAGTAAGACAGGTCAGAGAGAAAGGTCAGAGAGAGACAGACTGCTGACCTTTGACCTCCACTCACCCCTGTTTGACCCGGCTGTAGAGTCCTCTCAGAGCAGCTTCAGCTGACTGGAAGCCGAAGTGACGGGCGACGTCTTTACTGACAAACACCTGAAAACACGAGAACACCTGATAAATCTAAATTCTGTCATCACAGTGAACAAACTGTCACAGTCACTTTATTATTTTAAAGACGTTAAAGTTCTTTATCGTGTTAAAGACATGTACCATAAAGTTCTCTATCATATCAGACATGATGCTTAGAATTGAGGCCGAACAGTTCAATCTTGGTTTCATTTGACCAGAAATCTGGTTCCTCACAGTCTGAGAGTCACTTTGTCATTATGGGGTATTGAGTGTCGATTGATGAGGGAAAAAATGAATTTAAATGTGTGAAAAAGTGAAGTCTAAATACTTTCTGAACCACTGTACTTTAAAGTTAGCCTAAAAACTGTTCTCTTAGAGGCTCATACCACGTCACCGTGAGGAAACAGCTGATAAAGCGGCTCTCTGGTCTTCTCTATCTCCACAGACACGGTGATTTTCTGTTGCTGTGGTAACCTGCTGTTATACATGACAACCTGCTGGATCATCTTCACCTGCTCCTCAGCATTTCGGCCCTGCAGGGGTTAAAAAAAGAACAACAGTCAAACATATAAGGACTAATACACCAGAGAGTACTGCACTGTAAAGTAGTAATGATGTAGTTCAACTCTTGTGGAAACTAATGTTACTTTAAGACATCCTTTATTTGAAATAAAGCATCTTTGACAGGTAAAATTCAGATCAAGAACAAAGGGTTAGTCTGGTTTGTCAACTTTGTCAGATTCAGTCGAGACTGTTGGGTTCTCATGAGTGTGTTGTTTTAGTTAGTTTATTGACTTAGTTTGTCAGTCTAGTTCATTTTGGCAGGTTTTGTCGAGTGTGTAAGGTTCAGTCAAGTTAGTTTGTTGTGTTTATTCTGGTGTGTCAGACTTAGTTTTGTTTGTCTGGTTTTATTTAGTTTGTCTGGTTTTATTTAGTTTGTTGGGTTTAGTTTAGTCTGTCTGAGTTTGTTTAGTTTGTCAAGTTTTATTTAGTTTGGTTTTATTTAGTTTGTCGGGTTTAGCTTAGTTTGTCTGGTTTTTTTAGTTTTGTTTGTCTGGTTTTATTTAGTTTGTTGGGTTTAGTTTAGTCTGTCTGAGTTTGTTTAGTTTGTCAAGTTTTATTTAGTTTGGTTTTATTTAGTTTGTCGGGTTTAGCTTAGTTTGTCTGGGTTTTTTTAGTTTGTCAAGTTTTATTTAGTTTGTCTGGGTTTGTTTAGTTTGTCTGGGTTTATTTAGTTTGTCAAGTTTTATTTAGTTTGTCTGGGTTTAATTAGTTTGTCAAGTTTTATTTAGTTTGTCTGGGTTTGTTTAGTTTGTCTGGGTTTGTTTAGTTTGACAGGTTTGGGGTGGTTTGGTTTGCTGGTGTAGTTTCTTGCTCACCTCCCAGTGGATCCACTTGAACTGATGGAGGTCGACTTTAGAAAAATCCTCTGCTGTGACATCAGGAAGGTTCCTGTTGAACAGGAAGAGGTCAGAGTTCAACAACAATCAGTAAAAAAAAAAAATGAAATCAAACTTTTGTTCAGATTTTGAATTAAACCCCAATTAATTCTTGAGTCTGTCAGGACTTTATGGAGGTGAAAACATTTTACAATTTGGAACGGCAGTTTGTATCTCTGTTTAATCCATCAGACAGATGAACAATCGATCAGACTAATGAACAAGTGACAAGTTCAGACTGAAGACAAAATGTAAACATGAGTCGCCTCTTTAACAGTCATCATGAAACACAATAAAACTGATTTTTATTTCCATTCAAACATTCACAGATTTTTATTTTAAAAAGTTGACTTCCAAAATTATCAAAAGAAAAAATGTAAGTATCTGCAGGAGACATTCAGGGACATTTGTAAATAACATTCCATTGTTAGTGAGATTAAGACGAAAACTTCAGGTGGTAACTGAAGCTTAATAAACACCTGGGCAGGTGTTTATTAAATGTGATCTGATTATTTTGGAAGTAAACTCGTCACAGAATGCAGATTAAAAACAGTTTTATTACTGAACAGATTTCATTGTATTTCAAATGTGAAAGCGGTTGTTTTAAACATGGGGGAAATTAACTGAATCAGTGTTGATGAATTAACCTAAAACCACTGCAGAGACTTTCTTGGATAACCATGACATGGAGCTAACTGTTTCCCACTACATCCAAATCTGTACCGAACACACAGACAAACATACACAAAATCTTAACATGCCACTCCCAGAAACTATGCTGAACTGTACCTTTAAATGATCAATAATAATGATAATTTAAATCAAGGGATCTCAGTTACAACAGTCAAAGTGTTCAGGAGAGAATCAGTTAAAGTTCTCACATCTCACACTGAACAAAAGATAAATCTGAGCACAGTTTGAACTGAAACTGCTTCATCTAAATTAACACCTCCTAGAAATGTATTTTGTTATCTTTCATCTAGTTCCTCTCCTCTTCCTAACCTCCGCTCAGTCTGATTGGTGGATCCATTCAGGTTCAGGGACTCGATGCCTCGCTCTGCAGTGGCTCGTGTGACCAGCTGTGATTACACCAGATTCAGGATCAGGATCAGGTGTTTGTGCTTCCTCCAGGCGGGGTCAAACAGCATTCACTAAACTCCTCGGAGCATTCGTTTTATCTGTCTGCAGGCGACAGGCGCTTACACCAGATGGGTGGAGCTTCAAATTTGGAGGGTTTTAGTTGAAAGTTTGAAGGGGGCACTGTCTACCAGAGTAAATATCTTTTAGTTTCCATGGCAACCAAAAGAGGTTCACCTGAACCACTGATTTCTGTGCTTCACTCTTGGCTCGACGTGACTTTCTAGTGTTTGTGATAATACAGAACTTCACTTCAAGGTTTGCTATTTTAACTAATGCTGCTAAAAAATGTTTTAACTTAAAACTTATTAAAAACAGCAGCTGAACTTTTAAAAGGTTAGTTCAAAGGTTAGTTCAGGGGAGCATCTGTTAAATCAACATCTATTAAAACACCTCAGATTAAATGGAACAAAGAAATGTAAACATTTTTAATGAGGTTTTGAATGTAAATATGAGAACAACAGAGACGTACTGAATCCCATCTCCACAGTAACAAGGTCTGATTAACGATGAGGTATTTAGTGAACGTTGTGTGACACTGGCTGGTCGTCGGGTTGTCTTACATGTCGGAGAGAACAACAGTTCGAGATCCGCTGGAGGGACAAACCACACAACATGCACATGGAGTTTGACCTTCGAAGTGCCAGACCACCGCTGACACATCGACCGCACGCTGTGCAAAGTCGGCCATGATGAAACTGAACCAGAGAGACAAGAAACACATCAACTCTGTCAGACACATGAGGCTGTGCTCCGATTGGTGGAACTAGAGCGGGTGGAGCGGCGCCATGTTGACGACGGAGATCTTCCTGAAACAGAGGCAGTTACTCACACAAACCTGTTCACACCTGTTCATGTGGAGGATGGTTCGGCTTCCCGTGCTGGTGTTGCTGATGACCACAGAGGCTGGAAGGACACACTGAGCGTGCTCAGACACCAGAGACACGTCGATGTGGAACTTCTGAAAATCTTCCAAAATAAAACTACACACAGGAAACTGTTTACATCTCCTCTGTCCTGCAAAATAAAACTACACACAGGAAACTGTTTACATCTCCTCTGTCCTGCAAAATAAAACTACCTACTTAAGATGCAGAGGAGATGAGGACACAAGGAGATAAGGAAATGAGGAGACAAGGAGAGAGGAGATGAAAGCATTTCATCTCATCCCAACTTTAATGTTGATGTTTTGTCTCTTCAGGACTCGGGGCCTTTACTCTGATTAAGATGATCAAAAAGAATTTAGCTATTTCTACAGACATGATCAATATCGATCAATGTCACATGCTTTAAAAACTATATACACACACACACACACACACACACACACACACATATATATATATATACAGTGTTTATGTTATAAGTGTGTATGAACATCATTAAACTAAACAGTCTAACAACTAATGTACATGATAATCTCAGTGTCCATTTTTGATGATTAATCAATAGTATTGATTAACCCATTGATGAATGCATTAACTTGAATGGGAATGTGGTCTCTGCATTCCGGCCGACGGCAGGCGTTTATGGAAATCTCTGATTGATGAACATTTTGAGGAATGTATTAATCAACGTAATGATGAATATACTGATGAACGTATTGAGGAACATATTGATGAATGTGTAGATCAGTACTCACTTGGCCACAGGTCCAGCAGACAGTGAGCCCATGAAGGCGCAGGGAGCTCCAAGAAGTGACAGCACTGTGCAGGAGTTTGAAGCGTTTCCTCCTCGCTGCCAACGCTGTGACAAACACCTTCAAGAACAGAGACAGATGACATCACTGCATCATTACAATCTGACAGAAGCAGCTCAGTTGCCCAAAATTGAAGCAGAGAGCAGCAATGAGTGAGTTTCTGGCTTGACCAAGCCAAACAAAGTCACTTCAGATGATTTAATTATATTAAAAGAAGGAATGAGATCAAACACACACTTATTTCATCAGTGTTTGCAACATTTTAATAATTGCAGACTCAACTTTCCACCCCACCTCCCCCTTCATTGGATATGAACGATAATTGGGGTGAATGTTCAGGAGATGTCTGTTTTGCATGATGTCTGAATTGAGTTTAAACAGGTTTCCTCAATGGTGTAAGTTTGTGTTAGCACCAGCCTGTGCTAGCATAACTCAGTGTTAGCATCGGTCTGTGTTAGTAACAGTATGTGTTAGTGTTAACATAACTCTGTTAGCATCAGTCTGTGTTAGTATGAGTTTGTGGTACCATAAGTCTTTGTTAGCATCAGTCTGTGTTAGTAACAGTATGTGTTAGTGTTAACATAACTCTGTGCTAGCGTTAGCCTGTTAGCATAAGTGTGTGTTGGTATCATGGTTGGTATCCGTCTGTGTTAGTGTTTGCATAAGTTTGTGTTAGTATCAGGCTGTATTGGCGTTAGCAACAGTCTGTGTTATTGTTAGCATCAGTCTGTGTTGGCAGCCTGAGTGCTAACCATCCGTGGTGCTAACCTGCTGTCTGTGTCTTCTTCGGGGTATTTGTCGACCACGTTGATGATGTCCAGACAAACCAGGCCCACACACAGAATCTTCTTCTGTTGCTCCATGTTGATCCACTCATTCAACTGCAGTTTGGACTTTGATACACAAACGTCATTTCCTCTGTCGTCTCACAATAATAAGATGCACCACTTCCTGTCAGTAGCGACTATAAAATAAGAGCCTTCAGCACTTCTGGTGTTTGTCTGTCTTCTTTTTAATGATTCAAACTACATTACTGCCACATGCTATACTGGAGTTTGGAGTTATTGATCTTAAAAACGGAAAAGAAAATTATACATATGAATCCTCATTCTGTCAGGTAAACAATTTAAAATGATAATTTCCTGCTTCCACATGAGATAGGGGAACAAGACTGAGGTCTGAAGTGTTGATGACATTTACCCTCACTATTACTGTCCTTTGATTTTCATTTTTGTCATATATGTATGCCAGCTGTTTAAATGCATTATATTATCGTATTATCCTTATAATATCATAAAAACTTTTAGCAAAAGAAATGTGGAACAGAAACTCAGAGTGAATTTATTCCAGTGATTTAAAGTTTACATTTTGAGCATGTATCTGGTTTTCTTATACCGAGTGATTTACAATGAAAGCAAAAGGGGTTGCCAAAGAGGACCAATAAATCTTTTTAATGTTACTTTTATTAAGCAACACAAAAAAAGCAACCTTTAAAACAAGAAATGGAACAACAAATGCGGCAACAGAAGCAAGACAAAAGAATGACACTATCAAAAGAAAATATTAAAATATCAAAATACAGAGAAAATCTAAATAAAAAGAGATTTTGTCATATCAGATCCTGAACCACCAAAATAAAGTGTCTCTTACTCTGTCTCATACAGGATCATCTATATGTTGGAAATATTTTCGTATTTCATCAAAAGACATTATAATTTCATATTTTCTTATTCGTAGCAACTTACAATTAAAATAAAAGCTGAGACAACTTCAGTTTCTAAATCACCAACATTGCAAAAAAAACTCGATAGAATGACAGAGCAGAATTAAAATGATTCTTTTACAGACAGGATCATTGTCAGAGTTGTCTCATATTCATCTCACGTTTTTCCTGCTCTCAGTCTGTTTCACTGTTCCTACTAGAGTAATCATTGTGATACAGATACACTGAAATTACATTAGATAATTTAGATTCAATTAGATTAATGGTAATGCCATCTATGAGTGTCGTATGGGTAGTAATCATCTTCACCTTCATAGTCATAGTCATCATCATCATCTTCTTCTTCGTCACTGCTGGCGTAATCATCATCATCATCATCATAATAGTCTGAAACATCACCCAAGACGTGGCCACCACCATCATTATGAGCCGCAGCAGCAGCAGAAGCATTATCATCGTCGTCGCTGTCATCATCCTCATCCTCCTCTGGTAAAATCGTAATTGGGAATTTGTTTCTATTGCTAATGTATGGAAACAGCTTTTCAGTGAAGGTGTATGTGAAGGTGTGAATGTGTGCATCAGTATTAAGATCAAAGAAAGACAGTTTTCTTCTGTCACAGTCCAGATTAACTCTGATCTGCTGAATCTTCTCCTTCACAGATAGAACGAATGGTCGGCCTGATGGGGGGAAGGCTTTATATTTACCCTTAAACAATCCTATTCTCAATATTCCAGACCGTATGTTTCCTTTCCTCTTCACAGACTCTGTAGCCACTCCCAAAAACCAGAATTTATTGTCTCCAACTTCAACATCCCAGCTGTGAATCCCTGAGTTAAAACCCTCAGAGCCCAGGACAATGTGAAAGTTATCAAACCTCTCTGGATTGTCAGGAAGTTTCTGTGTCTCTCCAAATCTCACATTGGTCAGATCCTTAGATAGGATGAGGTCTGGATGAGCAGTGTTTGGGTCCAGAACCACAGGACTGTAGGAGACCATGTCGTCTATCTTGCTCCAGATGTTGTAGGTCAGGTTGCCCAGATGTTTGGCTTGGTCTATCAGAGCTCCTGAGACCAGCTGTGGATCATCCAGCAGGGGGCGCTGCTGGACTCTTTCCACTGTAACCTTGTAGTTGTGCAGGAATGAGACGTCTTCAGCTCTCAGCTCGTCCTCTGTGGCTCTGACTGTGTGTGACAGAGCTGCTATCTCTCTGCTCAGAGATTCTATTTTTTCCCTCATCATCCGACTCTTCTGCTCCTCTTCCTCCCTCAGAGCAGTGATCCTGGCCTCCTCTTCCTCCTCTAGAAACTGATGAAGCTTCTTAAACTGCTCCTTAATCTGTGTCTCTGTGTGTTGGGCCTGGACCTTAATGTGTTCTGCTGTTTGATCATAGTTTCCTTTAACTTGTTCAAACAGCTTCAGTTTCTCTTGTAAAGGGCTCAGGGATTTCTGGAGCTCCTTTTTGCGTTCCTGTGCAGCTTCATCAATGGGACTGAATCTGTGATTACTGTGTGCTTTTGAATGCAGACACACGACACACACTGGCTGCTGATGGTCCAGACAAAACAGTTTGAGTTTCTCAGAGTGCAGACTGCAGAGAGACTCAGACCCTGCTGAAACTCTCTGATCTCTCTGCGATGAAAAGGCCTCACACAGGTTCTTTAAAGCCAAGTTACGAGGTGGATCACTCTTTGATGATCTCCTCTTACAAATGGGACACTCCTGTATTGGCCTTTCTCTCCACCAGCTCTGCAGACAGTCTTTACAGAAGCTGTGGCTGCACGACAGGACAACAGGATTTTTGAAAATATCCTGGCAGACTGGACAGGAGAGATCGTCCTCTGACTGGGCAGACATTGTCTCTCGGAGTGAAGCTGAAAACACAGCAGGCAGAACACCAAACCTGTGGTTGCCTACCTGGAGTTACTTCTAATTCGGTCTGTGTTTGTCCTTTAACATGCGCTCGATCAGCAGCAGCTGGGCGTGTTGGTATTCAGTACTTCCTTGTTCTGTGTTGTAGCTGTTATGTTGTCCAAAGCCTTCGCTTGTCTCAATTCACGTGCTTCCATACTTACACTTCGTATTTTGAGTGCATACGTGCTTGCGCAGTGAGTATGGTAACATTTAAGTGCACTGGAAGTACCCGGATGGTTCACTAATAACGATCAAAAAGCTAAAACGATAGAAACTTCTCACCGTCAACGGACGCCATCTTGGCTACGTGGCGGAAAGGGCGGGGCCACCGACGTATTTTCAATCTTGTAAAAACAGCGACAGAGGAAGGAGAGCTTCTTTATTTGCATATGTTTGTTTTGTCTGTATTAACGTATTAGTCATCTATTTTCAATAAAGTTGTTAAAGACAAAAAAAAAAAAAAAAAAGTCGTCGCACAAACAAGAAAGTAAAACGTCAATCGTCATTTCCGGTGAGTGTACAGCGTCAGTGTTGGATTTGCGACAACATTATTCTGTCGGAATTCATGCATGGTGAATTTACTGTTTGTACACAGTGTGTTACATGTGATTGTCCTGACTGACGTAGACTGAATGTAATTTGTTACATGGCGCCGTTTTATTTTTTTCAGTTCATAATGCTGAATTTCCAGCCTTAAGTCATACCGTTCACCTAATTGTTCCTAAAAGTTCAAACAAATTAATTTGCTGATTTTTTTAAAGACATAATCTTAATGCAATCAAACTCACAACTAAAGATTGGAACCTGCTTTAAAATACCTCAGATCTTTTATCGCAGGGATCAACACTGTGTAACAATTATTTATCGTCTCCATCTGCTGTTTGATGGATGTGTACATAAAGTTTGAAGATTGTAGCAACAGCTCAAGGTACAAAGAGCATCCATGGCTGGAATATTCCATAAGCAAGCCAGCTGATTAATTATTTATCTTCTTCTCTTTATAATACCGTAAAACACTTATTCCAATAGAAATGTGGAGGAGGAAATTAAAATAAGTTTATTCCAGTAATTTAAAATTTACATTTTGAGCATGTATCTGATTTTCTTGATTTACAATGAAAGCAACAGTAGTGACAGATTCAGTTACTAAATCACCAACTTTACATCATTTCTACCCCCAAAATGATCATTAATGGCTGTTTATAGACATTTAGACCAACTGGAGGGGGCGCCAAAGAGGAGGAAGAAATCCTTTCAAAAATACACAAGCAACCTACAGTATATAACAAGGATCAATAAAGAAAAAACAGGAGCAAGGCAAAAAAACAGGACTATCAAGAGTAAATATTAATGTATAAAATAAAGAGCAAATAAAAATATAAGATATTTTGTCATATCAGTTCCTGAATCACCAAAATAAAGTGTCTCTTACTCTGTCTCATACAGGATCATCTGTATGTTGGAAATGTTTTCATATTTCCTCAAGACATTAATCTGCTAACGTGCATCATCAGTAATTTACAATTTTACATTGGTCATTGTAACTGTCATCAGTGTCGTCGTCCTCATCATCATCATCATCATCATCATCATCATCATCATTGCCGTCATTGTCGCTGTCATCCTCCTCATCCTCCTCTGGTAAAATCTGAATGGGGAATTCATCTCTATTGTCAATGAATGGAAACAACTTCTTTGCACAAATGCGTTTGAAGGTGTAAATGTGCTCATCAGTATCGAGATCAGAGAAAGACAGTTTTCTTCTGTCACAGTCAAGCTCAACTCTGATCTTCTGAATCGTTTCTATAATTGACAGAAAAACTGGTCGGCCTGATGGGGAGAAGGCTTTATATTTACCATTAGACAATCCTATTATCCATCTTCCAGACCGTATGTTTCCTTTCCTCTTCACAGACTCTGTAGCCACTCCCAAAAACCAGAATTTATTGTCTCCAACGTCAACGTCCCAGCTGTGAGTCCCTGAGTCAAAACCCTCAGAGCCCAGGACAATGACATAATCATCAAACCTCTCTGGATTGTCAGGAAGCTGCTGTTTCTGTCCTCGTTTCACACTGGTCAGATCTTCAGACAGGATGAGGTCTGGATGAGCAGTGTTTGGATCCAGAACCACAGGACTGTAGGAGACCATGTCCTTCATCTTTTTCCAGATGTTGAAGGTCAGGTTGCCCAGATGTTCAGCCACATCTATCAGAGCTCCTGAGTCCAGCTGTGGATCATCCAGCAGGGGGCGCTGCT